TGGGGGGGTGGAGGGCGGGGCGGCCACATGTGAAGCAGTGACAGCGCAGGGCAGCAGGGTGGTGGCAGCCTTGTGTGAGCTTCCCCGCCCCCCTCACCCCAGCATCTGGCCGGTCAACTGGAAATTCTGGTCAGTAGAGTGTGCCAGTTAGTAAATCCTGGATAACAGGGATTTTACTGTATGTAGCTAAAGTGATGGAACCTGTACCTACAGTGAAAACTTGAACATGGGCCAATGTGAGAAATTTATTTTATCTCTGTCCAAAATGCCATAAACATCAAGCACAGAGAGGAGGTGCTCACTCAGTGGGAATTCTGGCGAGTCCCTAGCACCCTGGGGATCCCCAGCACCACTAACAGGAAAAGAAGCCAAGGCTAGCCATCCTCACTCCTGAAGGAAAAACATGACATTTGACCAGGAAAAGAAGAACTGGAAGTGTATTGGTGGTAGACAGAGCCAACACAAACACGGAGAAAACATTTCTAATAAAAATAGTAACATTTTAAGTCATCATAACCAAATTCTACTTAGAAATCTTGTTAAGCAGGTTAACTCTTTTGAATTCTCCAAAGCAAATTAAAGCAGCTGTTTAAAAACAGACTGCAGTTTTACTAATGATGTTTTCTTTATTCATTACAATTTCCACTGTTTAATTATATAGTAAATTGTAAAGTTACTGGTCCTACGTATGACTGTAAACTGCATCTGACTGGAGGGCTAGTTGGCAATGTGGTGGGATTACTTGTGGTGGGGTAGTTCCTATAAAATACCACAATATTACAACCTCTAGAGCAGCGGTTCTGAACCAGAGGTACATGTACCCCCAGGGGACACATGAAGCCTCATCAGGGGGTACGTGAGATATATTTCATACATTGTCTAACACAGGTCGAAGGGCCTAAAATATTAATTTCCCATTGAAAGGGGGTACGTGAAGTCTCACTCTGAGACCAAGGGGTACGTCGACTGAAAACTGTTCAGAACCGCTGCTCTACAGTAAAGCAACTATAGACCACCTCAAAACCCTAGCTTTCACCATCCTGTGGGGACTCCTTGGTTGGAGAAAGGCTAAGTGACACCACCCTGACAGAAACACACTAGTCAGCAGCAGCTCTAACCTGTTGCTTTCTGGGAGAAGTTACAACCATCAAGGCACTGAACTCCGGACTTGGCCTGGCTTTTGGAACTCTCTCAACCGTCTAAAGTGATGAAAGTAAGTCTAAGGCAGCCTCCACTCCTCCTTACTTTTGTCTAGGTATACACACTGAAGGTCTTGGTGTGATGGTCACAGACTTCTTGAGCATACACCATGATCCAGAGTATCAATAGTTGCCAAGTATTGTAGTTATATTCCTAGAAAATGCAGTACATGTTTCTTCCATATGATGCATGTTTTTCCCTTTTCATGGGAAAAATCATTTACAGCAGAGGCAGAAGGGCAGAGCAGCACCTTAGACTAACTGTTTTAAAGAGGCACAGGCTTTCACAGGCAGCAGCCTGATTCGTCAGACGCTGTGAGCAGACTGGCAGAAAGAAGAGGGCCAGGGGAGGGGATACTGCTAAGAGAACTTACTATCAGATTGGCTCTAAGGTGCTACCCTCCTCTACCTTCTCCCTGACTTCAGGCTCATACAGCTAACAACATCTGTTAGAGCAAAAGAAGAAAGAACTAGTTTAGGTTTGACAATCTTATTTTAGTATTTGCTAGCATTGAACAGTTTTGTTCAGATGCTGTGCCTGTAGTTCATTTAGGGACACAGCATAATGACAGCAGTCCTTTCATTGTTATAATTAATACTCTGGATACCTGCAGAGCTGTTGCATTTCAGACTATGTATTGATTTTCCTGTCTTACCATGAACACTTCCCAGTAGAATATCACCAGCTGTTGAAGACAGAAATGAAGACTCTGCATAAAGATACTTGGTTTTTAACAAACCATCCTCAGTAGATATGTTGATAGATGTTCCCTGCAACTTCTCTATATTCACACTCTGCAAGAAAAATAAAACTGAAATATGCTTCCTTGAAATAGGCTAATACATTTGGAAACAAAACTGAGAAGTAGCAGAATTAAAACGAGCTATGTAACATATATTTGCCCATGTACAAGACAAATGGCAAGTTAGATGCCGGCTAAAAGTTATACATAACACAAAATAAATAATTGTACTTTGCACTTTCACCCAACATCCTTAAAACAACTTCTGCATAATAAGTTAATCTTGTCAATACTTCTACTCAGTAGGGAATGACTGTTGTACTCATTTTCCAGAGTACATATCAGAGACAGAGAGGTAAAAACAATTTTTCACAGTAGCACAGGGAGTCTGGCACAACCAGGAACAAAACAAAGGATTCCAATACCATGCTACTAGATCAGTCACTGGCTAACTTTGAGAATGATTTAAGTGAAAGCTTTGTGATAAAACACAAAGCTGAGTGTGACTACTGTTTGACAGCACCCACAAACCCAAGTCATCAGCCAGGACCTGAAGCTAAGTAGAACTTTGAAGGTGAGCATGAGGGATCTGAATCTAAGAGGGATGGAAAGAAAGGAGTTTGAGGACAGCATTTTGGATAGAGGGGCTGGATGCAGGGCAGGGGCCAATAAAACAGGGCTTTTGGGCAAACAGCCAGTTATGATTGAACTGGATCCATACATAATGAGCACGTTACCATAAGAAGCGAGTTCTGGTCTTTTTATGTTCAGCTTGATTTGAATTGTGTAATCATACAATAATTCAGGTTCAAGTCTTATTCAAAATGTGTTTAATCTGCCAGCTCTGCCTTTTTCTTAATGAAACATATTTCAAAGTCCTTATCCACTGCATGAAAAGATTTACAGCCCTGCAGTGTAAATTGTGTCTTACATCAGCTCATCTTAAAATCCATTTTGGCATTTTAATTTTATTGCCACCTTATAAAATGAAAAAATTCATAAGAAAAAAAAATCAGACTGTTGCCAATTCCAATGCTAATGACCTCTGTAGCATCTGATGTAAAAAAGTTCTTATAAATATGAAGATCTACCAATGATAAATAAAAAGCATGTGCAAGTCTAAAGAAAAGAAGCTTTCACCCTCATCTTCCGGTGCGTGAAATTTGGGCAGCTAACAGTTTGTGAATGAGAGTCTTACTCCTGTGCTGGCCCTTTTATACTATGGGAAAAAGGTGATAATAGCACAAAAAGAATATTAAAAAGCCCAATCCCTGGCTGGTTAAGGAAGACATTCCCTAGCACAGGCATAGTAGAACACCGTTGTAAAACTATCCCCCGAGTGTATCATTGCCCTAGGCCCACAGGCCATGCTGATGATAGGAGTAATCTTGGCGGCAGTGGCAAAACAAAGCACTGCAGATTTGCCACGATCCCAAAGAATGAGCCGAGAGGTGCCTTAGCATAACTCAGCCCCAAAGGCCATCTAATCTGAGGTCCTCTCTAGGCCGCAGAACAATCCACAATCAGGAGGGCACAATTTAAACTTAAGCTTTAGAGGTGCAGCCCAGAATTCTGCACTATAGTTTTATACACAAGGTAGGCCTCAGATAACAAGAAGAACCACCACCATATTAAAGAATATTTACATGACTGAAGTCAGCAATCTCTTTCAAGCACTCTGCAGTGGAACAGCTGAGGAAAAGGCAAAATGAAGGACATCAATAGGCATGATGCAGAAGACTCAGCAGTCTAGAGACCAGGACATGCAGGGCCCCAGGGATGGGGATCTAGGACCACTGTACCAAAAAGGAAGATAAAAGTGGTGGTGGTTGTGGTGAGCAACTTTCTGCAGGAAACAGAGGCCCAAATGTATCATCCAGATTTGGGGTCCCAGGAGGTGTGCTATCTGCATGGAACCTAAATTCAGGATGTCACAGAGAGCCTGCCAATGCTCATCCATTCCTCAGACCACTACTCTTTCCTGTTTTTCCATGTAGGCACCAATGATACTGCCACAAACGCAGAGGAGAAAAGAGGTGACTTACAAGGCTCTTGGCAGGGGGGTTAAGGGGCTTTGAACACAAGTGGTGTTCTCATCAATCCTCCCTATGGGAGGCAAAGGCCCAGGCAAGGACCACTGCATCATGGAAGTAACCATGTGGCTGGGACACTAGAGTTGGCATGAAGGCTTTAGATTCTCTGACAATGGGCAGATGTTCTGGGGAGGAGAACTGATATCAAGAAATGAGATCCATCTGACCAGAACTAAAAGGAACATCTTTGGGCATAACCTGGCCAACCTAGTAAGGAGGGTTTTAAACTAGATTCCATGAGAGTTGGTGAACAAAACCCTCCAGCAACAGAGGAAACAAACCAGAGGAGAAGAGACTGGAAGAAGCAGCTCAACTCTGAGAAAGGGCCAGAAAGCCGCAGAACACCAACAAGTGGCAGAAAAAGGGAAGTGCATAGGTTGAAATGCAAAATATGTCCGATGAATGAATACAAATACAAAAAGTAAGAGGAATAAACGAGATGAGCAGGAATGCTGCAGCCTGTGGAAAAAACCCTATGATCTAATTGGTATCACAGAGACCTGGTGGGACAGTTCTCATGACAGTGTCAACACTGAGGGTTACACTTTGCTGTGGAAGGGCAGGGTTGGGAAAAAAGGTGGTTTGCCAAAAATACATACACCTGTTCCCTGGTTCAGGAGGAAGAAGATAGCACAGCAGAATGCATTTTGGTGAAGACAGAAGGTGAAAGATGCAACAATGTAATGGTAGGAATTTATTATAGGTCACCAAGTCAGGAAAAGGAGGTAAGGCATTCTTCAAGGAGGTGAAGAAATTGTCCAAAAGGTATGAGATGGTACTCATGGGAGACTTGAAATTTTCCAGACATCTGCTGGAAGAACAATACAGCCAAATGTAAAATGTTGAGCTGGTACCTAAATTGTGCAGAAGACAAATTTCTGTTCCAGAAGGTTGAGGCTACAACTAGGGGATGATCTATTAGGGATCTTATCCTGACCTGATCAGGGAAAAATTAATGGAAGATATGAAAACAATGGGTAACTCAGGAGGAAGGGATCATGATATAGAATTCCAGATCCCACGATAAGGAAGGCATGAAGTCAACAAAACTAGAATGCTAGATTTCAGAAAGGTGGATTTCAATCAACTCAAATAGTTAATAGGTACAGTATCATGGGAAGACGGACTGAAGGATAAACATGCCCATGATCTGGGAGCTTCTAAAAGGTACAGTAGTAGAAGCCCAACAAGAAACTATTCAGACACAATGGAAGCACAGGAAGAACAGGCAAGAGACTGTGGTGGCACAAGGAGCTTCTAGGATGCCTCAAATGCAAAAGGAAAGCATGCAGGCAGGCAATGGTAAAATAGGCAGGTCGCTAAGAAAGCCTACCAGGAAATAGCAAGAATGGACAGCGACAAAAATCAGGATGGCAAAGAAAGAAAGAGCTGTACCTGGTGTTGCAGGTTAAAGACAAGAAGAAGAGGTTCTGTAAGTATAGTAGCTAAAATGAAAAACAAAGAAATCTGTGGGTCCACTGTTCAACAGCCAGAGGGAACTCTTAACAGAAGATGCAAAGAAAGCAGAGCTACTCAATAGCTACTTTAAGTTCTTTGTGAAGACTGACACAAACTGCAACCAGATGCTTAACAAATATTATTTGGATAAGGAAGGGGACAAGCTGAGGGAGGAAATAACAAGAGAAACAATCAGTGAGCTTCTGACGGGTCCTGTCGTGATTGCTCATCATACCCTTTCCTGTACTTACTGCTATTTTATGAGCTGGCAGTATGTCCTGACTTTCTCGCCTGCCACATCTTTGATGTTATTATTAATAATATTAATTTTAGATGTTATTAGTTGGGAGGAGTTATTTATTCTTTTAGTTTTCTTTTACCGCAATCTTTTAGTGGGGCTCACATATGGGTTGTATAGCTCATTCGATACACTTACTCTTGTAGATGAAAGTTAGATAGTCAATCACAGTTTGGTTAACACCAATTATTTTTCTTTATTTTCCTTTTACATTTGTTCAAATCCTACACACAGTTGGACAGAAGAAGGTATCTGCATGTCTTTCTAGTATCTCTAAACGTCTTAACGTTATAATTCTTCACTTAGACTGTTACTTTTTTAACAAAAACATAAATTAACTGAACTTAGTATTAATGAATTGTCTCACTCTTAGAATTCTCCTTCTTCTTTTATTCTGTGCAATGTCTCTTAACTTTGAGATCTTCTTTCTTCAGATCTCTCTACATAACTCCATTTATCTATGCTGATGGAGGAGTCATCAACCAAACCCCTCTTCTACCTCTAATCTTGGACCTTCTCAATGATAAAAAAAAAAATCTTAATATATACAAGAGTTAAGATATAAATCCTTTTCTTTGGTTTTTTTTGTTCACAGTATTAGAATTGGATAAGTTCCTTTTTTCTTTCTCTTTTTTCCCCTCTCCCCGCTGCAGCCCTGCTGCTCTGTTTTCCTGTGAATTCGCCCCTCATTCCCTCAGAAATCAAACAAAATTTACCTAGCCTCCCCACAGTTCTGTTGAAGGGTCCCTTGATATTCCTTTTTCTTTCATAGGCTCTTCTCTTCTCTCTCTCAGCTTTCTCAAGCCTCATGACCCGCCGCTCCCCTGCTCTCTCAGAGCTTCTATCTTTAAACAGCAGCAGCTCTGAAAGCGGCATTCTCCATTCTGTTGCGTCTCACCCACACTCACTTCTTCGCAGGTCCCCATGAATTCATATCAGCAGGGCCAGATGAACTTCATCCCAGGGTACTGAAGGAACTCACACAGGAGATCTTGGAGTCCTTGACAATGATATTCATGAAGTTGTGCGAGATGGGCAAGGTACCAGAGGACTGAAAAAGGACCAACACAGTGCCCTTCTTTAAAACATTTGTAAACATCTGGAGGAGGAAAGACTGATCACAAGCAGCCAGCAATGGTATACGCAAAACAGCTTGTCAAACAAATTTGATCTCCTTCTTTGACAAAGTAACTACTTGGGTGA